CTTGGAGCGTTGAGTTATCGTAGAATGTGAGCTTAGTTTCCGCGTCATTAAGAACCGCCGTCGTGTAAGGCTGCAGTGTCAGTCATGTCTCTCAACATACGTGATAAGCAGATCGCTGCGCTGAAGCAGATGCTCAACTTCAACGTTCCTCAACCTAAAGGCTCCTTTTCGGAGCCAGTATGGAAACTTTTGGTGTACGATCGTTGTGGACAAGACATAATATCGCCTCTTCTCTCGGTGAAAGAGCTACGTGACATGGGCATCACCTTGCACATGCTCCTGCACTCGGACCGAGACCCCATACCGGAGGTGCCTGCAATTTACTTCGTTGCGCCCACTGACGAAAACACTACGCGGATATCGCAGGACTTTCGTAATGAGTTGTACGACCAGTATTACCTGAACTTCGTGTCACCGGTGTCGCGCCAACAACTTGAAGATCTGGCTTCAGCGGCTCTGCAAGCGAACTCGGTCGCCAACGTGTCTAAAGTGTTTGATCAGTACCTCAACTTCATCACTGTGGAAAATGATCTGTTCTTGCTGAAACACAACGATCGCCATACTGTTTCATATTATGCCATTAACCGCGGCGACGTGAAGGACACCGAGATTGAGTCAATCATGGATAACATTGTCGACTGCCTGTTTTCTGTTTTTGCAACGCTAGGTACAGTTCCGATCATTCGTTGCCCCAAAGGAAATGCTGCCGAAATGGTTGCCGAGAAACTTGACAAGAGGATGCGCGAGAATCTTCGCGACTCTCGAAACAGTCTATTTTTGGACTCCGCTCATGGCAGTGGCCAGTTCAGTTTTCAAAGGCCTCTGTTAGTTGTCCTTGATCGCAACATGGACATGGCAACACCATTGCACCACACTTGGACTTACCAGGCCCTGGCACACGACGTGCTAGACCTGAGCTTGAACCGTGTTACCTTGGAAGAACCTGTTGTGACATCCCCCTCAGTTGAGCATGTGGGTGCCAAGCCACGAAAAAAGACCAAGACGTTTGATTTGACTCAAGCGGACAAGTTCTGGCAGCAGCACAAAGGTAGCCCATTTCCCACCGTGGCTGAAGCTGTGCAAGAAGAGCTAGAAGCATACCGTGCACAGGAAGATGAGGTCAAAAAACTTAAGGCAGCCATGGGTTTGGAAGGTGACCGTACAGATGAAGCTATCACCATGCTCTCTGACAACACAGCAAAGTTGACATCTGCTGTCAGCTCACTACCAGAGCTACTTGAGCGGAAGCGGCTGATTGACATGCATACCAGCATAGCCACTGCAATTCTTGAGCACATCAAGGCTCGGAAACTTGATCTGTATTTTGAGACTGAGGAAAAATTGCTTGGCAGGCAAGCTTTAGATCGTTCCCTTCTAGACCTGATAAATGACCCAGAGGCAGGCACAGCAGAAGACAAGCTGAGGTTAATCTTAATAGCATATGTGCTTGGACTAGATGGAGCCCTGGAGTACGAGGACGCCCTGCAACAAGCAGGTTGTGACCTGAATCCTCTCCGTTACTTGCGTCGTTGGAAGGACTATACCCGTGTCACAGCTCCACAACCTGTGGGCTCCTATGGTGGTGGGCCTCGCACTGTGGGCATGTTCTCCAAGTTGATGAGCCAAGGCTCGCAGTTTGTTATGGAAGGTGTCAAGAACCTGGTTGTTAAGAAGCACAAACTTCCCATCACACGACTTGTGGATGCCCTGATGGAGTTGAAATCGTTGCCCGAAACTGACGATTTCCGGTACTTGGACCCAAAACTTCTTGGACGCGCAGAACCACGAGTCCAAGCACCATTCCAAGAGGCAGTTGTGTTTGTTTTGGGGGGTGGCAATTATATTGAGTACCAGAACCTTCTGGACTACACAAAGGGCAAATCAAAGAAAGTTGTTTATGGTTGTACGCAGCTAGCTAATGCTGCTCAATTTCTGGAGCAGCTGTCCCAGCTAGGGGCTGAAATTAAGTAATGTATGCCTCGTGCCACTTGTGACCTCATCATGTTGCAAGTCAGGCCAGGAATCAAACTTGTAACTCTGGGCACAAAAGGCAAATAAAGCAACTGGTGTTATGAAATCATGGGAACCCAGTCACTGATTTTTAGGAGTAGCCTCGTCCCTTGCATAGTATTTTTTATTTATTATTTCTTTTCACAGATATCATCAGCCAGATAATTAACTGTGTGAGAATTGTTACAGGGTGTTTTGGTATTTATGGCAGTGGCAGGCCCATAGCCAGAGGAGAAAGGAGCACTAGAAGTCCGCGAATTCCCCCCCTCCCCCCCCGCCCTCAGGAAATTCATATGAAGGGGGATGTCTTGCCAAGAACGAACGATAAAAATAGGTGTTGTTCCAGGCCTTCAACGAATAGACCCCCTTCTGAAAAAATTCCTGGGTATACGCTTGGGCAGTGGTTATTTGTATTATTTGTTGAAAAGGGGTTGGGGGGAACCTGAAGGGTAGTCTTGTCTACTAGATAGTTGTGCTGAACAACTTCAGTCAGTTCAATACAGAGTGTTTGCATGTTATCTTGGGGAATGTGTGTTTTCTCGACTTCATCATCATAAAAATGACAAAATTTGTGCTCGATGACTCATTTTAGTGCTAGAACTGTCCTGTCGTTGGTTGTACATTTGTCTTTTCTAGCACTAAAATATAGATGTCAGGCATACACCAACTTACTCGGCAACAGGTTCTCACTGAAAAATTTGGGTGGAGTGCAAGTTCGGTTGGCCTCATTTAATGCATATAACTGTTGCAGTTTTTGAGATCATATTTATGATATGCATAGAGAAATAATATTTTACGTTTATTTTTTACTGGATGTAAGTAGCAGTACTAATTAATTTGGTTACTGCATATTCTATTTTCATAGCAAATTATTTCTGCAATGCTAAGAAATTGTTTTATGGGAACATAATAGTCAGTATTGTAAACGAGAAATATAAATCTGTTGGCAGACTGTCAAACTTAGTCCTGCATACCTGGTAAGGAAGGAAAGAAGTGTAAATTTAAGGGCTCGCTTTCTTTGACACAATATTAATGAGAACTAACTGACAATGATGCCAAGGAAAGTATAGGGGATGTTACCAAAAGTAATTGTTATGTAAATGTAAAGAAAGAAAAGTGAAAAAAAAAAAGATAACTTGCCACGGGCAGGGGCCAAACCTGCGACCGATAACACGTCTGATGCTTTCGGACGCGTTATCAGCATTTCACATCGGCTGTAAACAATACAACACCTGACTAGGTTGGTTTTGTAATTGCACTTTATGTGAAATGGAGAATCCAATTTAATTACATAAAAGAATGCAACAGTTGCATCACTGCTTGTCTTCCTCCCAATGTGGCACCAGCCGCACAAATGTGTCAGGCTCCTTACGAAGGCTTTGCAAATGTAATGAGAACCTTTTGAAGGCCTGATGGCAAGAGGTTCTTCTGACCATAAAACCACAGTTTCTCTCCACATCTTTTATCACTATACTATTATGTCTGAATCAACATTTGCAATTCTCGAAAAGAGTCCAATCATTGAAGAAATTTTACATTTGCTGCACTATGCTGACAATCATCCTTTGCAGGGTTCTAGTGCCAAGGACCTGTGTTCCTTGCCCTTGGATTCTCTCAGGAGAGTCCATACAGTTTGCGTTGCTTCTTGGTTCATGTTAGCTTTTACTACATATTGAAACTCAACTTTACTAGCCCAAAAACACGAGTTAAAGAGGTGTGGGATGAATGGTGCTTTCAGCTAAGGAATACACTAGTATTCTATACTTTAAAGGTACACTAAAGAAAAACAATTTTTCGCATATTAGTAAAGTACAATTTCACAATGCCGAGGACACCACTCTTACTGCAAGACGGTGCTTGGTAAGCGAGAAAATGCACGAAAAGAAAATTCGGCTGGAGATGCCCAGACTGAACACCGTAAAGTCATAGATTTTGAAGGAGTCTTTTAGGTCCTGCATAACTTCCAATTGATAAAAATGAAGTACATTGACATCTGCGGGCACCATAGACCTACCATACAATGTTTCAGAAAATTTCACCAAGCCAAGGGTGCGAAAATGTGAAAAATACATTTCAAAATTTTACAGCGAAAGCTGTTGAGATCACAACTCTGGTCTCATGCAGCGCCGTAGTTGTCCGCCGCCGCTGGTGTCCGTAATATATCGCACGAAATTAAAAAAAAAAAATCTAGTACCAATGACACAGTGGGGCTCGAGCCCGAGCCCGCTGTGTGCCAGCCCAGTATGCTACCACTGAGCCACGCTGGTGCTTGGGACCTTTTGGCAAAGTTGCCTTAGACAGGCTTGATGTCGGGAAACCAATTGCATCATTATGACTTTTAAAGCGTTTTAAAACAGCGAATGAACAACCAGTCGTCACACAATGCGAATAGCGTAACGAGTGGGTCGTCCAATGCTCCAAACCATTACAAAAGCTTGTTTTTGTTCAGCTATAAACTGCGGTGCATACACACTTCAGGCATAATTTCTCATCGTCGTCAGCCACTGCATGAACAATTAGCACAAAATTCCTCGCAATAGTTTAGCGGATACCACGCTTCCCAGAAGAATGACAAAAATACCATAGCGAATGCCGGCCTACTACCCTGAAATTTTTATTATTAATGCTGTAGTGGGCATCAAGCAAGTGTGCTTGCAGTAGTTACCCAATGAGTGTTTATAAAAGGCTCTGAAAGGCCGCTCTTCTAGCTTTGGCTGTGACTGTGCTGCACCTTCCACGCAGGCCTTTTAACGTCAGTCATGCGTGGCGTTTTTGGCATGAAACTTAAAAATTAAACTTCAACCTTGATTTGCTCCACCAGTAATGAACTTATGATAGTGAAACTAACAGCATTAGAGTTCTCAAAGTGCAGTTTATTGTTCTATACCCAGTCATTGTATCTCTTTAGTGTCCCTTGAATGTCTAGCATTCATTCTTTACATCTTACCTGTGTCAATTACTGCGCTAGTAAGCATGATTTTCAACAAAAATCAGCTAGACCAACTTATTTATTGTTTTTATGGCTACATTTTCTTGCATGCAGACTGAAACACATTATTCAAGGCATTTATGTACCTGCAATATCATCATTAATATATTAGGCCATAGGCAAAGTCAAAAGTACTTCAATGATGATGCTTTTAACAATTTTTTTTTGCCCTTCATGATCAATAAAAGCAGCAAATTTAAACTTGAGCATTGTAACTGAGCATTTGCAGAAAAATCTGCACAGTGTCACATTTGGTGTCAGTTGGTACAGCATTTTTTGGAAACAGATGGGTGGAAACAGTGCAGGCACATAAGCACAGTGTACGTTTGTTTCCTTAGTATGTCCTGCATTATCACGCCACTCTGTCTCTACGATTTCACGCGACCTCAAATTTACCGATTGCTAAACACAAGAAAATTGTCAAAAGCTAACTAGCTACATCGCTTCTCATAAAAAGCACCTGTAACACCGCTTCATAAGTGGTGACTTACGACGCAAGCATATTAGAGAAGCATAATTTGAAGCACTTTTTACAGGCAATATTGATTTGCGTCACAGCAATTGCCATGTATTCACAAAAGTAACTGTGCCTTTCCTAATTTTGATAGCATTTACATGTACAGGGGCCAGTCTAGAGAGCTACTTGCAATTATCATGATGCTAAGTCATCCATACAATTATGATCCTTTATTGTCTTCTTTTACATCATGCCTGCAATATGTACGTAACTTACACATGCTAGAAAATGTACAAATGGTAGCCGCAATACCTTATTTGCACCTATGTGCAAATGTTTTAACAAAATTTATACTGAAATGCATAAAAAAAATAATGGTCCATTTGAATGGCAATTTCAAGTGCTCTGGTGGTGCACATCATGTGTGGTTAGTTCTTTCACAGTGCTATGCTCTCGGAGCACTCAAAGGTGCCCTCACTGTGACCTCTGAGCCCAACCAACATCTGATCATGTAACTCTCACATTTAGTCTGTTTCTAACAGAAACTGTATTAATGGTTTCTTCTCTAATGTGTGGCTGAGTGTGGTGGCACCTAGCCAAATGTACCAGGACATTGGTGGTACAGAGCTTATTCAGTAAGGAAGTGCTGTTAAAACGGGAGAGTTTTGTCAGGTGTTCTGTGGTTTTGTACTTTCACTGCCAAACACTACAACAGTTCTATTTAATGTTGCACAAGTATTTCAACTCAACACTTATGTATGCTGCAATTAGGTGTTATTTATTGTTCATATTTTTTCTTATATAAACAGCCATACGCTACAGAACAGGTGATTGTCAATTGACCACTTGTAGAAATCTGCAAGCTGGCTTTCCTGCAAAGGTGTTTTCCAACCAAAATGTCTCGTTCCCAGACTACTTTCCTCACTCATTGTGTTTTTACCCACTCCCTTCTTTATGAACAACAGGTGCCTCGTCCACCATGCGATATGAGGGTTCGTTCGAGGTGGGACCACCACGCAGTAATTGTTGAGGGAAAAAGTCTTCTTGTAGCACTCGCTTGCCTTCACTCGAATAAGTGTGGTAAAAGCACAGTGAGCGAGAAAAACAGTCTGGGCACAAGAGTTTTCTTGTCCTTTTGGTTGGCAAACAACCTTAAAGGAAAGCTGCTTTACAGATTTCTGCAAATGGTCAATTATCTCTTCCTAAAACAGTAATATGAACAAAAATACATGCTGCAAGATGACTACTAAACTATACACACAGAACATACTTGCACTGCGAAACATGCATGCATTCCGCAATGACGCCTACCTCCTTCAAAAGCGCACCTAAAAATAAAAAAGCCAGAACAGCTTGGTACTCGAGCATTCCTTCAAAAGCACTTGGCAAGCTTCACCATGCCAACTCTCACAGCACCTTGGACAATTTTTTTTTTTTTACTGCTACAACTGGGAATGGGTTGAAAAGATTGATGAAAGCGACAAACCACAACATGAATTTTGAAAGCAGCAATGAATGTCTCATTTTGTGCTTGAATATGTACATGCAATGCAGACAAACTTAACTAAATAACTTTATAACATCTTTGCAATATGAATTTATGAATACACACTTAGAAAATGGTGTAATGCTGCAAGGGGTATGTCATCAAATGGGTTACACTTTATAGGATGATCACATGAGATACAAACATACAGCAGTATGTTGAGCATGATAAATCAGTGAAAAGTCCAAAGTTTTCATATTGTAATATTGTTTTGTACAGTGCATTTAAAATCACTAGTACAGAGCAGGCCTGAGAAACAGCCTTTTTTTTTTGTAATAATGTTTAAACAAAAGTGCACAAAGCGCACGGTTGGAACAAACTACACTTGCTTTGTCTTCTTGGCAGGTGTTGGTTCGTCATTCTCGTGGAAAACTGGCTTGGGCTGCGTTGCAGCATAAGCAGGTGTCACCCAGTAAGGGTTTTCAGCTGCTTCCTTGGCATATTTCAAGATAGCTTCACGTGGGTCCACATTGTCATCAACACGCTTCGTGGTACCCAGGTTGCGCACAATAAAGGAGGAGAGCGTGTTTCCTGCCGAAGCAATGCGGCCTCCTTGGCCAGGGCCTGTCACAGGAAGATCAGGCCTTTGAGACAATACAGGGTCCTTTCGTGCCTTCTCCAACCGCTTGCGCATACTTCGCGGCCGCTCTTCCCGGAACAGCGGCAGCGCATGTGGTGTTAGCACTTGCGCTTGGGTGAGCCCCTGTGGTAAAGGTTTAGCCCGAGAGGCCTTGGACACACATAACAGTGCGCCATGGTGGCTGTGCGCTGTATCGTAAAGAAGGCGCACTTCACCACACGCCAGCCCAGCTAAAACTTGATTAAGCCGGGCATGCCAGATTACTCTAGCCACTGGCGATGGCTGTCGAAGTCGCATCACTTCCTGCATTGTGTCGCCCTTAAAAAACACCAGCTGACCGTCGCCAGAGCTCTTCGATGTGGCAGTGTAGATGAGTCGATCGTCAGGGCTGAAGCCGCAGTCCGTGGCAGGGTACAAGTTGTCGAGATCTGCAAACGTGTGCAAAGCCGACGGCCGCAATGAGCGAAGGTCCCACAACTTCATCGTGTCATCGCAGGATCGCGTTGCGAGCTGGCGGCCATCCTGGGAAAATGCTACGCAAGTTACGTCAGTGCCTCGCCGGTGCGCCTCGCGTACTGTGTGACTCGGATGCACTAAGGTGCGTCGCTGGTCCCAAAACTGAAGCGAGCCATCCTGGCAGCCAGCAACCATTAGTTGGCCGTCCCTGCTGAAGCGGCAGGTAGACGGTATAGCTCGGAGGCCGCCCTGTTGCTTGGTCTTGACCAAGGCTTTGTGGCAGTTGGGTTTGTCCACATTCCACAACCGCAGTGTGCCGTCATTGGCACAAGTGAGAAAGTCCTCGCGGCTGCGTGGGTGCCAGCAACCGTAATTCAGCATAGCCACATGACCTTTGGTTCGAGCCATGTCAGCTATATACTGGTCTCCCTTAACGCACTCCATCACCTCGAAGCCGTCCCGATCCAGCACTTTCGCCTGGGCGTTGCCAGACACCACGAGAAACGAGTCGCCCGTGCAGCTGTATTCTAGGTTTCGGATCTGGTGACACTCGCAAGGACGAAGCGATCGGAACGGCTGCAGAGATGAATCCATGCCGGCGAAATCGAACAGAGTGATATCAAAGTCATACCCGCCAGTGACAAGACGTGCTCCATTAGGGTCCAGAGCCAACGCAGACACAATCTTCGTGCCATGCCGCAGCGTAATGTCGTCTTTCACCGGAATAGGCCGATACGCAGCAGTACGCTCACCTTCCTCCTCGTCATCGTCCTCTGAGTCAGATCCGTCGTCTTCAGTCTGAGCCGAGAGCGAAATCGGAGGCCCCACAAGGTCGTCTCCGCTGCCTTCATTCGGTTCACCGTCCTGCGCAGGATCATTCTCCCTTGAAGTTTCGGCGCTACTTTCAGGCTGGCTCGTGAACGGTTTTGGGTCTTCCGTGAGTTTTGAATCTTTGCTCCTACTTATTGCCGTCTTCCTAGCTTCCTCGAATATGGCATTTAAGTCAAACACGCGAGCTTTCTTGCTTGAGTTGGGAAGCGCACGTTCTCTCGACGCTGCCATATTTAAATTGAATGAACGTAGGGCACAGAACACCTACCAGTTTCTACAGATAACGCCTACTCTAGAAAGATGCCAGAGGAATGGCTCGCGCTCCCAGCGGAGTTGGCCTGCCTTCAGTTTTAAACAAGCTCCGCGCGATGGAGCTCGCGACCGACACTATCGTTGCTACAGAACACCCTAAGAATTGAGACGAGCCTAGAGCAGGGTTTTATAACTACAGCCCAAGGTGCTAGGCTAGAAGGGGACGAAGCTATTGAATATATAAGAACAAGGGTTACAGAAAAATTTCAACAAAGAGGTACTTTATGCACCACAATAGACAAGGACGAATCAAGTGGTGCAATGGCTTCATTTTCACAACGAGAGTGGGAAAGGGCTGATAATAGGGTACCTAGTAGTACATCAACAGGCCCAGATGGCATTCCAACTATGATGATAAAGACATTAGGTCCGAAGTCTAAGCAGGCTTTGAGAGAGGCAGTGAGCAAAATAATAATCGATGGTGAAGTTCCCGATGGATGGCAACTTAGCAGGATGAGCATGATCTATAAAGGAAAGGGGGACACAGCTGACATAAACAACTACCGTCCTATAACAGTGACATCAGTGGTCTACAGGCTGGCGATGCATATTATGAAGGAAAGACTGCAGGCATAGACAGAGGATGAGGGGGTGCTGGGGGAACTACAGAATGGGTTTCGGAAACACAGGAGGTTGGAAGACAATCTGTTCTCACTGACGTAGTGCATAGAAATAGCAGCAAAGGAACAGAGGCCCCTGTGGCTAGCATTTTTGGATATCAAGGGAGCGTACGATAGCGTGGTTCAAGAGGAATCGTGGGGAATACTGGACACACTAGGCGTGGAACATGTAGTCACTAATCTTTTACAGGATATCTATAAAGGTAACAAGGTAGTTATAAAGTGGGAAAAACAGGTATCTAAGCCTGCAGAGGTAAAACGGGGGCTTAGGCAGGGGTGTCCCCTGTCACCCTTATTATTCATGATGTACCTACAAGGATTAGAGGCCAAATTAGAGGGAAGTGGACTGGGCTTCAACCTCTCTTTAGTCGAACAAGGAAAACTCATTAAACAGGCACTACCAGCATTGATGTACGCAGATGATATAGTGCTAAAGGCCGACAACAACTAAGATTCGCAAAAATTGATGGACATCTGCGGTAATGAGGGAGATAGGTCAGATATCAGATTCAGTAAGGAAAAATCAGCAGTCATGATTTCTAATGACAATGAAGGTAGTGAGCTTAGGATACAGGTCACGCTAGAAATAACAGATAAATACAAATATCTGGGCATATGGATAAGCAATGGGACCGAGTACCTAAGGGAACACGAAATATACGTATTGACTAAAGGTAACAGGAATGCAGCAGTGATGAAAAATACGGCACTGTGGAATTACAATATTCCTGGTCTGACGTTCGGCAATGCGGTCTTGTGCATGAGATCAGAAGTTCAAGCAAGATTAGAAATTAAGCAACGTGGAATAGGTAGGCTCGCTTTAGGAGCTCACGGGAATACACCAAATCAGGGAGCACAAGGTGATATGGGATGGACATAAATTGAGGGCAGGGAAGCTAGCAGCAAGATAAAATTTTAGAAGCAATTTGAGAGAAATGGGGGAGGAGTGGTGGGCTAGGAAGGTTTTCGGGTACTTGTATATGAAGAATGTCAATAGAAAATGAAGGAAGTGAACCAGGAAATTGATGGGTAAATACTTAGGAAACAGTAGGGGGCCAAACCAAAAAGAATATCGGTTAAGAAGAAGGTGAAGGAAACGAGACTGACATGTGGAGAATGGGCATGATTAAGAAGTCCGCACTAGAGATCTATCGAACTTTTAAGCAGGAAATTGCCAAGGAAATGATCTATGATAATACTCGCGGTAGTTCTCTACTGTTTGAGGCCAGGACGGGAGTACTGCGAACCAAGACTTATCGGGCCAAATACGAAGGGGTAGACACAGTATGCAGTGCGTGTGGAGAGGAAGAAGAAACTGCCGAACACTTGATGATGTTCTGTAAAGGGATTCACCCTATAGTTCAGGATGATGGCGCAGAGTTCTTCGAAGCACTGGGGTTTGGGGACAGGGAGGGCAAAATAGACTATAAATCCTCAACCTCACTATTTGAAGAAAAAAATAAATCTAGTTTTTGATTCATAAAGTGTTACGGCTTAGTGGCGCTAGCCACCGCCCAATCGAAAGGGTACAGCCATATCCATCTATTTATTCATCTATCCACCATTACGGCGATGGGCGGTACCAGTTTAGCGTTTTTCATCTGCGGCCCATAGGGGCGCGTCAGTCGAGAATTGTTCGAGACCTGCAACTAAGCAACACTGTTTCGGAGGCTATGCAAAGTGTTGCGTTGTTGCACCGTCCGCCACAAGTGACGCTAGCGACCAAAAACATTTTCAAAATTAAAGAGAGAAAGGGTGTGGTAGCTGTTTTTTTTTATGCGGCAGGCATCTTCCTAGAGGAGGCGTTGATTAGGCCAACGCCTCCTCTAGGAAGATGCCTGCCGTTGGTTAGGAGGCGTTGGTTACACAGAGTTTCCCTAAGTGTATATTGAGAAACTCCACGGTTTCCTTCCTCCGTGGAGAAACTCTATGGTTGGTTAGGCGAACGCCTCCTCTAGGAAGAGGAGGCGTTAGGAAGAGGAGGAGCCACAACCATCCATCCATCCACCCATCCTCTTGGATTTCTTGTGCCTGCCGGATTATCGGCGGTCGTCAGAACTACGATGGGGGCGTCACTCAGGTAGGGGTGTCTTCAAATAAATTTTTACGTTTTTCAAAGCTTATGTGAAACAAAAATAACGTAAAAATTTTTTAAAAAGGCGTAAACGTAATTATAAATAACCATATTTAAGTGACGCTGTCATTCACCAAGCAACGTTTTTAATACAAAGCATCCTCTGAAATTAATAACGCCAAAAATGCCGATCTCAAAGGCCAAGTACAAACGATAGTTATAGCGCGAGAACAAAACGACGACACAGAGACAAGAAGGACACGAAAGACACGTGTCGTCGTTTTGTTCTCGCGCTATAACTATCGTCATGCCATACCAACTAGCCCAAGCTGCCACACTTCCAAGTACAAAACCCTTTATCCCTACGTAGGCAGCGCCGGTTTAGATGACCGGCCTTTCGCGCTCATCCGGCAGGCACCTCGACGAATAACGTTGTTGGTGTGGCAGAGGTGGAATGAAAACCCGCTGTTTCCCACTGTATGACGGAAAGCGTCAACGCGGCTTTCAGAAGGAAGGGCCTCCGTGCTTGTCACAGTCTACTGCAAGGTTTGTTCAGGAGGTCGCGGTGTCAGCACTGAGTAAGTTCAAGCTTCCATGAGTTATGAGATTTTGGTGGTAACGGTGGTGGCATAGTTCGCTTAAAACCCTGCAGCGTGGTGTGTGCGGACACGTGGGGGTACTGAAAAATGAGGCCCACGATGGTTCGCCGATCACATGTGCAGTTGTATGGGCTGTTTCCAATTTTAAGGGCCTTTTAACAAGCTACGGAAATACGGCACGGTATTACAAAAAAGCAGAAGCGGTATTACCGTTCCTTCTTTTCCGGTCATCGATCTTTTTGACAGTGAAGGCACCTCAACAGCACAACAGCTTTTCAAAAAGTTACTATGGGGTTGTCACGCCTCGTTGTAGCTTGTCAGCCTACGCATTGGTTACGAGGAACCTGTCGTTCGGGGGACGCATTGTGAAAGTAAGAGCGCTGCCGTACTGCCCTACCGTATTTGCGTACCGTATTTCTGTAACTTGCTACGAGATCCTATTGAGGCCTTCTTAGTCGTGGACTTTCCGGCCATTTGTCGTTTCTGATGTATGTAAGTGATTCTTAAAAGAGTGAAAAGAAGATAAAAGTGAACCCCGTAACTGTCTACATCATATGCGACACCTCAACAGTGGCTCACGAGGGATGGGGGTCAGGAGAGATTAAAAGGGATAGGGATAGAGTTTGGGACAGAGAGACCCACATACAGAAATAAGGAGAAGATATGAAAGATGGACACGCTCGCTGGAGTGCGAGGACGGGCCACCACTCAGCGAGAGCTTCACGGCGTCGGGAGATGGTGGAGGGCGAGTCGCTCAGCCAGAGCTGCGCTGTCGTCGGAGATCGCGGGGGCACAACTGGTCGGCAATAAATTCAGCGAGCGAGTCCTTCTGATGTGGCAATCTAATGTGATATGGGAGTCACTTCTATTGTCGCGTTACCTCATTGGATCATTGCAATTCATTGTTTCACGCATGACCATCGTTGTAGTCCGTAGCAACCGAAGTGTTGTGCTGCTAAGCTCGTGAATGATGGTCCAATAGGAGCAAGATTAGAAGGGGCATTGCGCAATGCAATTGAAAAAAAAAAAAAAGAAAGTAGTAGGCCTGTCACACACACATCAAGCGTTGCATAGCCCCATTTTCCCGATAGGGATGCTCACCTAATTAATTGTGCAGCTTGTCTTTCTCTGAGTGAGACTTTTTGTTGGACAAGTCGGTCAAGCTAGACTTAGCTAAGAAGCAATTTTAACGACTAAGGTTGTAGTCACAAGTTACACTTTTGCTAGTGCTGGCCACTGATTACTGTGTGGCTTTGCACGTGACGGTAGGGCCGTAAATAGGGGGGCAAAAGTATTCTGACCTCAGATCATCTATTACTTTCAATTTCTACATGGAGAACTTTTGTGCTATTACGAGGCTACTGTACCACAAAGGTTCCGTGCTGTCGAAGCAATTCCACACAATGCCAAAATGACAATACAGTTTCACCAGTGGTGCACCGAGTAGCAGCGTTTCTGTAATACCTTGAACATGTAACTCCAAATTCAAGATTTAAATGTTCAAAAACTTTCTTGCCATTTTGAGAAATATGAGCTTCAACATCTAGAGAGCAACTTTAGCATCATATTCATGGGTTCATTAATAAGCATTATGCTGTGTCTCGCAAGAAGCGCAGACAGACTTCTTGCCCATTTAAAAATTTGTACTGTAATTCTGTAACGTTATGCATGTTTTCTTTTTCCTCATAGCTAATAGAAAACTAGAGCTGCACCTCAACAAAGACTTGACACCAACTTATCAGCCATGAGCTATTGGGAAGACATGATCCAAGCCATCGAGAACGTCGGTGAGCCCGACAAGCTCGCTAATGGCGAGGATCTCATCATCTTGAAGCTGAAGGAGCCACTGCCAAACGGCCACTCTGTCCCTACGCCTCTGACAGTGGACACCGGCCGATCTGTACTCACAATGTGTCAGAAAGATCTTGCCAACTGCCGAGGCTTCCTCGCCAAGCAGTGCTATTCCACGGTGTTATTCTCCGGTTTGCCTGAGCTGAAGTCGACAAAGGGATTCCTTGCTGCTGCGAGGGATGTCGTCTTCAAGTCACCGGAGCTGATTATCGTGCACAATAGGTAAGCTTGCACTCACTGTGGTGCGTGCTTCTTACATTGGTGTTACACAGGAACTTTTCGTCGTGATCAGGCCTGGTTCGGACTGAATTTTTTTATTGTGATTGGCTCCTGTACACAAACCGCAGAAGAGAGTTAACGATGGCTGAGAAACTTGATCCCAATCGTCGTACCTAAGGGATACTGACACAAAAATTTTTGCCTCGCGTTTTTTTGCTGCTAGTGTTCCTAGGAGCCCGTTAGTCATACACTTCTTTTTCTGCAGCACATGACAGATAAATAATTACAGGCTTGTTATCACTGACCAGTTTCAGTTTCAAGACAACAAGCCACCGGATGAAACTATCACCACCTAGCTTGTGAAATGCTCGACCATGTCAGCACGCATAACTGTGACGCACTTTTGCCCGGTTCGCATCATGAATGTTTTTCAAAGAGTAAACGGGGCAGCAATGTCATCAAACACAAAATATTCAACTCGTGTGCCGCGGCCTCTGACCCGGCAGCAGCTGCCCATAATAGTCTGCTGAAGCAAATGCGGCCGGAAAAAAAGGGGGGTGGCTGTGACGTCGTCATAACTTGCTGCGGCGCGGTAACGTGAGAGAACTGGGGGGTTCCCAAGGTTCCCCCTTTGAGGATGTCAGTAAAGCGATGAAGTCGATCGCTCACGCAAAGTTCAAAATTGATTCAAAATACCTTCTAAGCTATATTCGCTGTTGATGTTTTGCTGATGATATACGCATGTTCACGAGAATCGATCTCACAGGCTATCTCGGCCGCAAAACTTTGTAGCCCTTTAGTTGGGATTGCCAGTGCATGGTGTCGTCCTCCTATCATAGTGGGACGTTATTATTGGAGCAAGATGTGGAACTGTTGGAGTGAAAAAGTGGTCAGAAACAAATTACAGAGACAAGCGCCGACTGTCAGCGAAACTTTGTCAGATTTACTACGGTCTCACAATGTATGCCCATGTTATCATTATAAACGTGTGCTGCTGTTGTGCTAGTGCTCACTTGGTCGTATGTGCAGGCCCTTTAGCAGCGGTGGCTACGTCTGTGTACCCAACTTGTTTACGTTAGTTGTGTCGACTTGGGGCAAAAAGGGATCAAGATACATTGCTCATTAGACAACCTAACCTCTATAGTCAACATGTCTTGACTTGATCTCAGTGTGCTCTGTGTGACTGTAACCGATTGTTTTGGTGAAGGCACTACATTGTTCCCATGGTTGCTCAATGTGCCGCCTTCCGGAACCGACATCAAAAGTATTACTTTCACAAAATTAACACAGCCACAAAATATCTACGCGCACATTTTCAACCTAGGATTTCATTGTTTTATGTCAGAATAGAACCTGACTGCTAGTATATGTAAATATTTAATTAATGCTAATTACAAATATTTATGGGAACCTATACAAAACAACACATTGCTTTATTTCCTTTCTTGGAATTTAATGCTGTGTGCCTTGGAATTATCCTACACTCGAACCTCGATATAACGAATGTGGATACAACGAAATATCGGTTATGAAGAAGTAAATGAAAAATAGTCTTGCAATAGATAGTGTTACGAATAAACCTTCATAAGGAGTTTTTGGGTATAGCAAACATAATTTTGTGTAAAAAGTAACTTTGTTATAACGAGGTTTCAGTGTATGTGAATTTGATTCATTAATAGACAGTGCATCATAATTTGCACCCGAAGGGGATATGTTTGTGTTATAATGTAAATGCAAGGTCAAAAGCGGTGTCAGCGTCTGTACAGAAGCAGCAAGAGCTGGCCGGGTGTACAGGCTGCGTCGCAGCAGCAACCAGGCAGTCTTAGCTCGTGCCTCGCGCCAAGGTGTCATGTCGCTTTAGTAGTGGGCATTCCTCTTCACTACACTTAGTCCCCCGTCGGAAAAGGAGCCATCCTGGGGACTCACGGGGAACAGAGTACGAGCGGATCGTAATAAGGTTTCAACCGCTGTACGTGAACAGTTTCACGACCCCGAAAGCGCTGGTCTGTGGGTGGCGTAACGGGTTCGACTATGTAGTTAACAGGTGAAGTCTGCGAGACAATGCGGTAGGGTCCCTGGTATTTTAAAACAAGCTTCGAGGAAAGGCCTGTAGGCACAGCGGGAACCCAAAGCCACACAAGAGTGTCCGGAACAAGGCTAGGGTACGGCTGGTTATCGTCACGTTGAGATTTTTGTCTCCATTGGTCAACAGTTGTGAATGACTAGGTGAGCATACGGCATTCCTCGGCGCGGCGGGCAGCTTCAGAGATCAGCGTAGACTCTGAGGAATCTGGGTGGTAGGGTAGAATGGTATCTAGTGTGGTGGGAGGGTCTCGGCCATATAACAGGAAAAATGGCGAAAAGCCCGTAGTTGCCTGTGGAGCAGTGTTATATGCGTACGTCACAAAAGGCAGAATGAGGTCCCAATCGGAGTGGTCTGAGACAACATACTTTGATAGCATGTCCCCTAGGGTACGGTTGAATCTTTTCGTCAAGCCATTCGTCTGCGGATGGTAAGCGGTGGTAGTCCGGTGAATGATACGGTATTCAGCAAGGAGTGCGTTGACGACTTCAGAGAGGAATACACGTCCTCTATCGCTGAGAAGTCCACGCGGTGCGCCGTGACGGAGAATGAAGTTCCGCAGGAGAAAAGAAGATACGTCGCGTGCTGTGGCAGGAAGCAAAGCGTCTGTTTCTGCGTATCGCGTCAAATAGTCGACAGCGACAACAATCCAACGGTTTCCGGAAGCCGTGAATGGAAGAGGCCCGTACAGATCGATCCCAATGCGGTCAAAAGGCCTGGCTGGGCAAGGGATTGGCTGGATCAAACCAGAGGTATGATGAGGCAGAGCTTTTCGCCGTTGGCACTGTGGGCATGACTGAATGCACTTGCGCAAAAAGGTGTACATGCCTCTCCAATAAAACCGTGAGGAAAGCCGAGCGTATGTTTTGAAGATGCTCGCATGTGCACACTGAGGGTCAGCGTGGAAAGCTGAACATATTGCAGCACGAAGATGGCGTGGTATGACGAGTAACCACTTTCGGCCGTCGGACTTGTAGTTCCTGCGATAAAGGAGGCCATCGCGGACCTCAAAGTAAGCCGCTTGATGGTGCAACGTTCGAGAAGATGAAGTCGACTGGTCCGAAAGGAATCACAGAAGTGTGCTGATCCGGTCATCCTTACGTTGCTCAGATGCCATGTCGCAGTTTTCTGGGAACGCAACCATTTCGTCCACGGCAGATAGACATGCAGAGCTTTCGGAGGACACAGGTGAACGTGATAGGGCGTCGGCATCAGTGCGACGTCGACCAAACCTGTAGACAACACGCATGTCGAACTCTTGCAACCGCAAAGCCTAGCGAGCTAAAGGGCCGGAGGAGTCTTTCAATGTGGATAACCAGCAAAGCGCATGGTGATCGGTGACTACATTGAAGGGGTGACCATACAGGTATGGTCTAAATTTACCTAGAGCCCATATAATTGCCAGACACTCCTTCTCTGTCACAGAGTAGTTCTTCTCCGCTTTGGTGAGCAGACGGCTTGCGTATGCGACTACATACTCCTCGAATCCCGATTTGCACTGCGCGAGCACTGCGCCGAGTCCAACACCGCTGGCATCGGTGTGTACCTCAGTCGGAGCAGTCGGGTCAAAGTGACGCAAGATTGGCGGCGAGGTTAACAGGCGGCGCAACTTTTCGAAAGCATCGTCACAGGCGGGTGACCAAGCGTAACTTTTCGAGTCACTGCGCAGAAGTTCAGTCAAGGGGGCGGTGATCATTCCGAAATTCCGAATAAAGCGGCGGAAATAGGAGCAGAAGCCAAGAAAGCTGCGCAGATTCTTCAGAGATGCAGGTTTAGGAAACTCTGCAACTGCCCGAGGCTTGGTGGTGTCAGGAAGAATACCGTCTTTAGAGACAACATGGCCGAGGATGGTGAGCTGATTTGCGCCGAAGCGGCATTTATTCAGGTTGATCTGAAGGCTGGCAGCAGTTAGGCACTGCAGTACTTCATCTTGCCTGCGGAGATGCGTTGGAAAATTTGGTGAAAATATAACTACGTCATCCAAGTAGCACAAGCATGTTTTTCACTTCAGGCCACGCAAAAGATTATCCATCATCCGCTCAAATGTTGCGGGCGCGTTGCAAAGACCAAAAGGCGTGACACAGAATTCGTAAAGGCCATCAGGTGTGACAAAGGCCGTCTTAGGCTGATCTTCAGGTGCCAGAGGGACTTGCCAGTAGCCACTCCGTAGGTCAATAGAAGAGAAGTACTCCGCACCTTGGAGGCAGTCAAGGGCATTGTCAATTCTCGGTAAGGGATAAACGTCTTTTCGAGTTATTTTGTTAAGACGATGGTAGTCAACACGGGAGCGAATTGACCCGTTCTTCTTCTTAACAAGAACAACTGGAGATGCCCAAGGGCTATTCGAAGGCTGGATGACGCCACGCTTGAGCATGTCAGCCACTTGGTCATCGATAACCTGGCGCTCGGCTGCGGATACGCGATAGGGTCTTTGACGCAATGGCGCATTGGTACCCGTATTGATGTGGTGACAGGCAGTGGACGTGCGGCCGAGGGGAGTATGCTGGCAGTCAAAGGAAGAACGGAACTTCTCCAACAGTCGTAGAAGCTGAGCACGTTGCGAAATTGTTAACGTGTCGGCGATGGAGCTGCTGAGTACGTCAGGCCTAGTTGTCTGCGGCGAAGAGGCACAAGTCATTTTGGCGACTTCGTGTTTGGTGGAAGGACCAGTCGACATGTCGAAAATTGCAGAAGGGTCGAGACTGTAAACCCACCCGACGCACTCACCCCGAAGTAGTGTTACAGGACATGACAAGAGGTTCGAGATGAGCAGTCTGCTGACGCCGTCATGAAGTTCTAGAAGGGCATAAGGTAGCGGCGAACACTTGCGTTCCCCTAGAAGGGCATAAGGTAGCGGCGAACACTTGCGGGGAACGAAAAGGGCAGATGGCGTGAAAAGGGCACTCGACTCGGCAAGCGA